TTATTACAAATGGTCATAATTATGTGTTCAACCCACCATTTCTAATGAGTCCTTTCTTGTCCTCCATTTGCTTTACTTCGCTGCTGCATTTGAAACTCTAGATCACTCCTTCTTAGAAAGGTTATCATCTTTTGGCGTATGTGACCACAGTTGTTTCCCCCCCTTTTGCCACATCATCTCACCTCCTTTTCTGGGGGCTTTCTTCTTCCACTGCTTACCCCTTAAATGATGCTGTTTCCCAGGTCTCTGTCCTCTTATGTTTTCATTTATATATTTTCTATAAACAACCTCATCCACTTGCATGAATTTAACCACTCCCTTAATGCTGTTGAGTCCCAAATCTATGTTTGTGGGTCCAAACTTATATAAAGCTCTGAAACCAGACAGAGGGAAGGGGGAACCAGTCTCCCTAAATCCTAATTAGGAAAAACAAACATGCTGGAGCCAAAACAGGCTCACCTTTTATATCAAAAACACAGAGGTGAAGGAAGGCATTCAACTTTATACTAGTAAGAAACAGAGCCAACCAGGAACTTTACTAGTCATAAAATGGGAGTTTGCTGCAATAAAATGCAATCCCTAAATTACAATAACAACACAAAAAAGTTATTTCTCTGTCATGTAAAAACCTGCTGTGGATTGGGGCATCTCCCCTGCCATACTGGCTCACTACTCCTGGCCTCTTTGGTTTCATGGAACTTCCATTGCGATACATGCTGTGAATCTCACCATGCTGGGAGAGGAGGGAGCTGCACAGTTGAGCACAGACAACTGAGTACCTGCATCTGGAGGTGAAATATGTCAGGTTTCCATTCACTGGCCAAACAAGTCACAGAGCACCCCTAACTTCAAGGGCACAGGGAAGAATAATCTTTGGCCCTGAGAATCAGATACTGTTGAATAGTAGCTACTTCTAGCATTGAAAATATTAGGTCTTAAATAGAAAATGTGGCCTTAAACAACATATCTTTTTATTTTCATACCTCCGGTACCTATCTTGGTGGATGGTACAAAGAGGGTGTCAATATATGTTGAATTCAGATATGTGTGAAGAGATGATTTGGTAAGTGTCTCTGAAAAGGTGTTCAGAAAAGTCTGAATGGATTCCTTATTTTTCTTCCAAAGCAAATAGGAACATTCAAAATCCTTCCACTTTTTGCTGGGCTCAAAGATAGAGTCATTTTTTAAAAGTAGATGTATGACATCTAAATATTTGGAAGCCTCACTAAATATTTGAGTTTAAAGTTTGAAGAGAAGGCATTTCATAGACCTATTGTTTATATTTAGCTTGACTGATCTCCCTCTCCAACCTCAAACATGATGGGAAGCCTGGAAGGGGAAAAAGTTACAAAATATTGCCCTGAAAGAGTCATATAGATGTGTGTTCACGCAGCATGTGTGTGGGTATTATGTGTGCATGTGCACTTTTTATATTGGATGTGGGACAGTCAGTCTTGTTGCCTATAGGAATGTTTGTGGACAGATAAATATGACCCTCATGGAATATGAAACTGAGCAACTTTAAAGCATGTCCCCAATTCTTTGACATTGCTCCCATTGAGAGGTGGGGGTATTTATCTTCCCTTCTTTTCAATCTGAGCTGGTGGCTCGCTGGTAGCTAGTAGAATACAGTGCAAGTGATGCAGCATGACTTCTTAGGTTAAGTCAGAAAAGGCCATGAGTCTGGTTCTTTTCGGACACTCACTCTGAGGGAAGACAGATGCCATGTGAGAAGTCTGCCATGCTGGAGAGATTGTAGGAAGGCTCTCTGGTTCACAGCCCCAGCTGAGCTTCCAGACAGCCAACAGCCAGTGTCAACTGTCAGCCACACGAGTGTGCCACCTTGGATGTCCAGCCCAGATGAGCCTTCCAATGACAGCAGCTGCAGTTGACATCTGATAAGATACTCCAACAATAAACTGGCCAAGCAAGCCCTTCCCAAATTTCTGAGCCACAAAATCAAGAGCAAAATAAACTAGCTATCTAAGCCACTAAGTCTGGCATAACACACTCACTCAAAGAGCAGCACAGTAACCTAGTTTATCACCCAATTTAGAACAGAGTGAGAAGCAACAGAAAAGAGACAGTGTAGATAAATATGCTTAGGATAGGGTATAAGCAGAGTGGAAGGAACATAGTACCTAAATTTTGTTTTATGCCATGTTCATATGTCCTAACCCTCTCTGCCACGCCAGTCTTCTCTGCAGATGTGTGGTGCTAAGGACCAGAGGGAAGAGTGAGTGAGGGGGGTTAGCAGATTAAAGGAGCCTGAAACCAACATGCACCTCTTCTGTCTGAGAGGTGCAGGGACAAGCATGTCTGGTCATCACTGTGTCTGGCCATTAGCTGGCTGAGTAGCTAGGAGTTTATCTTGTGCAGAGACTACATGAGGCCATAATGGGGCTATAATGGCTGTTACTAGTAGGTAGCCAATTTAGGGATGACACTGTTGTCCGAAGTAGTATGATCCATGCCTTATTATTATTTAAAGTGCACTTGGTCTACCTCTTTCTATCTAAAGTAGCACTTTCATTTTTTCCATCCTTACGTCTATGTTCTACACATATCTATTTATTTTATGTGTAGCATGTCTTGTAAGCAAATTATGTGCACATTTCAGCCTGTCCAATTTTCCATAGCAGAATGGAATATTCATAAATCATACAGCAAACATATTACAGCAAGCCCCAACCAGTAAGCACTTACCAGATCAGGTTTGTGATACCCCACTAACTGGCAAGTCACACGACCAAGCCCACAGTCGACGTGGGACAGGTCTACACAAGGAAGTGGATACCATCAGGCATGATGCATTGGGACCACTACTGTAATAATCTACCGCTAACAACCTAGGTAGGTAATGGTAGATCCAGTTATCAAACTCTCAGCAATCTGTTTCTGGAGCCTACACACAAAGCTGATGTCCTAGAGACTGTTGGGGATGGGTTCTTGGTGGGGAGCTTCTCCAAACCCCACTTCCCAGGACCCCACCCCAAGCCCAGTAAGTCAGAATTTCTTACGGGAAAGAGATATGGGGGAGAGGGTGGTGGTTAATACGGAGAACTTGAGACTGAAATAATTTTGCAGAGGATTGCAACACACACTGGGGGTGTCCAGGGTTTAAAAGACAAGAAAGACAGCCTGTACACTCAAAGAACTTCGTTTCCACAGAGCGCATTCTTAATTGTATTACTACACCAGAGACCTTCAGACTTAAAAAAAAAAAAAATTGCCTTCCGTGTTTCTTTAAGTTAGAGCAAAGATTCTCAAATTTATGTGCATCCCTATTACCTGAAGGAACTGTTAAAACATAGACGACTTGAGCCCAACTCCCAGTTTCCGATACAGGAGGTGTGGGTGGAGCGCACGAACGTGCGGGTCTAACCAGCTCTGCGGTCCAGGGACCATGCTCTGAGAACCACCGCGGGCAAGGGGGTTTAGTGGCTGCCTCGCACTTGCATGTTCACAGCATGCCTGCTGCAAACTAGGGCTGGGGCTGCTGCGGCCGCGCAGCAGGCAGGAGGATAGGATTTAGATCCTGATTACACGTGAGCAGATTTAGTCTCTAAGGGGATCTGTTCTCTAAGACGGGAAGCCTAAGTGTCATTAGGGCAGGTTCAGACGCAGAGAAAGGAAAGCCTGAAGCAGGGCACTCTGAGCCGGGTCTTGAACGGTGCCCGGGACCCGGACATCTGGAGGGAGCGGAGAATCGCGGCACTGTTTCTGTGTCGGCGTAGAGAAAACCAACCTTGGCAAACACCGGGAAAAGGTCTGTGACCCTCTTGCCTCCAGCATCACCGATCTGCAAGCTGCCGGCACCGGAGCAGCGTCGGGGTCTCCGTCTCGAGCCCTCCGTGGGGAGCGGCAGCGCCGGCCTCGCCGCCTCGGGGAGCTCCCGGGGCGGGCGCCCCAGGCACCGAGGGTCTGCCCGAC